CAAAGACAACTATGCCGTTATAGGGTGGCAAAACATAAAACAACATATATAACACTCAAAAAACATAATAAAATTTGGACTCACATAACTACTGTGGTCCCCACCTCCTATCTAACAACTAACATAAAACATCTACTCAGAAAAATATCATAAAACTAATTAATCTTCAACAGATTACCTTGCTACAAATTAAAGTACTCTTAGTAAAGTTGATATACTCAGATAGTGTTATCTTGTCTAGAGTAAAGCTTCTTTGCATGGGTTCCATACTATTCTAAGAACATAAAATTCACACTAATCTTGGGTTCCATACTATTCTACAACCATGTCATAATTTGTGCATCTTCTTGTTCCCACTCAATGTACCCCTGAGAATCAACTAAGGGGTTTTCCTCTCACATGCATCACCTTCTTCTTATCCCTAAGAAAGACTTCTATAGATTTATCCCAAGGCACATAATTCTCACAATTCAGTTTAATAGAGGTCATTTGCACACTAAGATAATTAGAGGGAATCGTAACACTAGATTTGTATTCACTGTTGTCTCCCATAGATACCCTAAAAAAACTCCACTCACTAGTAATTCACCAAAAACACATACCACTAGGTCTGCAACTGATCATTACTTGTTTCACACTGTATCACCCATATAACCCACTTATTTAAACTACACAAATCAATCCTGCACTAATCTGTTCACCATACCACCTGAAACTGCCACCTTCGATCCATCGATTAGAGGGTTTCTATAAACCACAAGAAGAAGCTAGTAGAATAGTTTGTACGACACCATTCCCCCTATGGAATGGTAAAAAGCCCAATCTGAATCACTTGCATGTTTGATGAGCAGAAGCCAAACTATATAAACGATTACAGAAGTTGGATTTGAGAATAATAATTTGTTAGATACTCTAAGAGATCCAAGGGGTATAGATTTTATTTTCCACCATTACCAATCCAGATTGTAGAAATAGGAGTTGTTAGATACACTCTCTTGCAGAAGCTGTTGACAATTCACTAGTGGAAGTACCATTAAAGAAGTCCCAAAGGGTAAGAAGATGAGCCATCTTCACGGACTTTATTTGTTATCTACAAGAATGCGGGTTTGATGTTGGTACTAGAAATGATTCAGTCACATATGAGGAAACTATCAGATTCCTACATTCATCCAAATGGCAATATTGAAAGGTTCTAAGTCTAGTTCAGCTGCCAGAGGTGATGATATTAGCAGTCAAACAAAGTAGCAACGACCAGAATTTGATCTAGGGTTTCTTCTGGTACAAAGTTATCAATAAATTTGGTAATTCTTAGTAAGGTTGAGATGTGGACAAGAAGAAGAGGAGGATGAAAAGTGGGGGAATGTTTGGGGCACCAAAAATATCAAGCATGTCCCACTCAATTATCGTTTATTCTATGTACACAAATCACACTTAAACCCTTGAATAGAATAAATAAATTACCCTTACACTAACAAGTGCACTCTCAACATCTTGTAATACAATAGCAGCTCTCGAACATCCAAACAGTACTGCAGAAAATATATAGGTTCCATTTGGAAGAACAAAAAATGAGCAGTGTTGGGCAGTCAAGAAATAACATGTCCTGAAAATGAGTGTGTCAGAAATGTGTATGCTGAGATGGATGAGTGGAAAACTAGAGAGGATAGGACAAGAAATGAAGTCATTCATAGGAACTCATGACTCAGGAGTAGCAACAATAGGTGATAAAATGAGAAAAAGTAGACTAAGATGGTTTGGCCATGTGAATTGAAGACCATAAAAATCACCTGTAAGCAGTGATTTGTTACAAGCTGAAAAGGCTAGAAGGGCAAGGGGTAAACCAAAAAGGACATGGGCATAAGTAGTAAGAAATGATTTTAAGCACCAATAATTTAATAATGGATATGGCATTAAATAGAACAGACAAGCAAAACAGGATTTATGTAGCCAACCCCACATAGTTGGGATAAGGTTTGGATGATGACGATGATGATTTGGCAAAACGAAAAATGAAGGGAAACAAATTATTTCCTGGAAAATGATCTTTTACATTGTTCGCTTGCATGTAAAATGGATGTGGAAATTTTACAAAACATGAGCATTAAACTACTTGTTTGCTGAAATAGAGCTGTCGAATGAGAGGAGAAGAAGAATAAGAAGATATGAGATGGGTGGCAGAAGTGTTCTCAGCCAGCCCTAATCTATTATATATAAGAACATTACATAATGTTACATAAATAGACCAGAATGCCCCTGATTAGTGATGGGACACCTAGTCAAAATAAACACTAAATAAGATTAGGCCCAGTAACTAAGGCCCAATAACTAATGACTTAAGACCCAACAAAGATAAACATACAAATTAAGACAGCCGAACCAACACTACTAATTGTAGGAAAATGGCATTCCTTATAATCTTATGTATGTAGTTTCCATACATAGGTTGGCCTTCTCAATTCATATCTTGCAACTACAGAAACAAATAATGCATCTAACAAAATTTCTGGGGAAGGTAATATTTTCAAGCAAACAATGTACCCAGCAAAAAAAAGGAAAAAGATAGAACAAAAACAAGAGTGTTAAGGCATTAATCAGTTAACAATGAAAAACATTAGAAAGTAAAGAACTATAGGATGTTGTTGCTGGAACCAACTCCAGGAAAAGACCAAAAAGTTGCTTCAAATAAAATCCAGTATGTATGTAACTCAAAAAATATACCATATTATATCACCAGTAGCCGCAATTTTTTCCAGCATGCTAAGGCATTCTACCATGGTGTACATATACTTCACATGGAGAGCAGCATCACTTTTCTTAATTGCTTCCTACATACAAGTTTAGAATATCAATGCTCAGTTCATACATAATACAAGAGAAACCCACACCAATAGAATTTGATATTATTTAAATACATTATGGAGCACATACAATAAATTCATTAGGAGTGGAACATGATAGCCATATTGGAATTTGATGTGAAACAGATTTGATGTCCTTGACATTACCACCACCAACCCTTGTAGATGCAATGCCATCCAAGGCAGCCCCATCAAGTATTTCAAAAGCATTGTCATCATCATGACCATCAAATGATAAACTGAAAGTGAATTTTCAAAGTCAAATACAAATAATCAAATTTTAAGACATAAAATATACATGTCAAAGTCAAATATACATCATTAGGAACAAAACCAAATTTAGGAAGATTTGTGGGTGAGGGAAACTCATTTGATGGAGTGCTTTCCAAAACTTTTCTCTATTTCTTCTTACAAGTCAGAACCTGTCTCCAAATTCACCAATAATTATGTCCATGGGGTTGCTTGGGACACTGGTTTTAGGAGGAGGGATATTTGGTAACCCATTAGGTCATTAACCCATTGAAGGCTTTAGAATGTGTCTAAACACACCACTAACACCTGCCACTCCTGGGTTTCCTAAAGAGTTCCCATCAAAATTCAACTTGATTTTATTACTAGCTGGGGACTTCCACTCCATCACCTTTTTTTTTTTCATTTTACCTTAGAATAGTGTGCCACTTCATTCCACGTTCTTAATATGTCAGCCACTGTAAAGTTTTGGAAGATCTCTAATGTTTTTATCCAGTGTGCCACTTTTATCTTTATAGTTTTGACAATTTCTTCCTTTACCTGTGCTTCCCATTGAATTTCTTGTGTTTCTTTCAGCCCAAATAGTCCACACCACCGCTGGCCTAACTGATTTCCACATCACTCTCTCTCTTTTCGATAGCTGCCTTAAAAATTTAGGCTGAAGAAACTCACTACATCCTGAGGAGTGGTCCACCTACACCCAAAGAGAGAGCAAAAAGATTCCCATACAAATAGCACAACAAGACAATAACACAATAAATGGGATAGGGGTTCATCATTTGCAAAACAAAGACAATACACATGAGAGAGGCATTTGTTTGGCCTCCTTTTTTGAATCATGTCAAAAGTGTTCACCTTACCTAGAAAAACCTCCCAACACAATGCCTGAACTTTGGGTAGAATGGGCTTACTCTAAATCTCTTTTACTGGGAAGTTGTCCCCTCCTATAGGAGGTTGCACAAGGGTATTGTGTTAGACAGTTTTGTATGCCCTTAGCTTCAATCAGAATGATGTACATTATGAGTTTATTGTAAATGAATAAAAGTACATATTTGATTCATGTTCC